AACGAAAGCGGAGACGGAAGGTATTTGTTGAACGACCTCTACATTACTGACTACTGTGTTTGGTTACAGACACTCAAACCAAACACATTTCAATCTTTATGCACTGCTCTCCGAAACATTAAGATAAGCAAAAGTGATGTTAACATGGATTTAGAAATTCTGGAGAGAGCGGCGAACCTCGCTATTGAAGAAGAAAGTGAAACGCTTAGAGAGAATTCAATACAAAGCTCTCATACAAATGAATCTGAATCTAAGACAATAGAAATGTCTCCAGAATTAAACATAGATAATAAGAAAGACAAACAAATAGATTCGGACGACGATTGCGACTAATAATTGTCATCAAAACTAATTGTATTCTTCAGATATCTGTTAGTTATAAATAATGGAAAACATTTAAAATGGAGGAACAGGTCGTCGAATGCGATAACTAACAGACAACTAATTTTAAATCATAAAATAACAGAAATCATTGATTACACTATAATTTACATTATTTTTATCAGATATTTATATGTTATTGGTTTTGCAATTAAATNAAATCATTGATTACACTATAATTTACATTATTTTTATCAGATATTTATATGTTATTGGTTTTGCAATTAAATAATCAATAAAAGACTTTTTAAACAAATATAGTCTCAATGCCTGACCTCCTCGTAGAGCATCGGTTACTCCTGGTTTGCTATAATCAGATCCACTGCTTTCATCTGAACCACTCGTTGGTTCATACTTTCGGGCCAAGTGTTCAAGAAGTGGTGCCCTTTCATTCTCCTCCTTAATTGTGGTCCACTCGACGATATTACTGATTATTTGATACACAGTTTAATTCAATTTGCATTTTTAAACCTAATGTACGGTTACCTCCGATTTATTCTGACTGATCCCTGACTGCAATAAAAAGTTAACACAAATAGAGTATTAGAATTTGTTATCAGTTATGTCTATAAACTCTATTAAATACCGAAGTCTATCCGATAGGTCTGACGAGAGTGTCTGCCACGGGATATATGCGGGATAATCGACACTACTATTGATACTGTCGTGGATGAAAGAGCCCGACCGTATCCTCTGGTGAGCCTTTTCCTGAACAAATGAACCTCTTTTGGTGGACGAGTCCATCAGAATCGACGACTCCATAGTCTTATTCTTAAAACTCTGCGACGCTTCCATTGTCTTCAATATTATCACTTCACTCAACACTTAAGCAATTCTTTTCTTATATTCAACACAAAAGGCGAAAAACGGACATAAAATTCATCACTTTTACCAATAAAGTAATTGTCGTAAGATTTGTAACAATTATTGAGTTATTGTTAAACAAGTGAATAACAGTTTGGAAATGAAGTTCAAATGATTGGGAAAAAAGTATATCAATAGTTCTCTTTTCAAATAACTTGTATCGAAACAAAAAGTTTTCCACTCGTCTTCACTCGACGTGAGGTATCAAAAATGAGTTCAATTTTCTTGAGACGATGTGTTAATTGCAGTTAATGTACTGTTTCTTCCACTCTCTATATTATACAAAAATCTTATAGTGAACAGCAATTTACTGTACACTCAATTAGACGACTCCGCTGTACTACTGTCCTAACTATACAACTGTTTGATACACTTGTGGTGTATTGACTGATATCTCGACTCTGAAGGCGTCTTAAAGGACAAGAAATTCAATGTTTGTTTTGACAAAAACACTGATATATTATTCCATTAAAATTTTGTTTGAATTGAGATTCAAATCACCCAAAAACTAATCTTTTATTTATGTAGAAGTAATCATATCTACAAGAATACAAATTCAGGGCTATTTAGCGTAAACTTAGCCCAATTTGAACACAAATTGCC